GTCACATTTTCACAGATTCTCAAAATAGCAAAATATTATTCATTCATATCTCAGATTTTTTTCTTTTTTGGAATAGAAATAAGTAGATTTTGAATTTTGAGCACCATAATTTTTAAGTTTTCTTTGATAATGCAAAAAATATTTATAAATAACTGCTTCTAATTAAAATGAAATCTTAACTCAGATACTAGAAATTACTTTTTAAACTATTATTTAACTCTGTATGCCCCTGACTCACTTGTGCTTTACCCCAACCCCATAACAGTATCTAACCCCTCCATCCAAACTCTATGTAAAGAAGCATAGTTCTCTTGGGGACTTTGAGTTTACAATTAAAACACTTAGATACAGATTGTTTTATTTTTTAAAAGATTTTATTTATTTATTCATAGAGACACACACACAGAGAGAGAGAGAGAGAGAGAGGCAGAGACACAGGCAGAGGGAGAAGCAGGCTCCATGCAGAGAGCCTGACGTGGGACTTGATCCAGGGTCTCCAGGATCATGCCCTGGGCTGCAGGCGGCCCTAAACCACTGAGCCACCAGGGCTGCCCAGATACAGATTGTTTTAGATCAATAACTCCAACTCTATGATTCCAATAATTAGTAGACACAGAAATGACAAAATGTGAATGTAGTGAAATATCTTAGGTGCCAGGTCTATCGTTCCCAGGGATATGTCACTTTTATAGCCCTTACAGGTATAATATACCTCATGGAGACACTTAAAAGTAACCTGGCTATTTTAGCCACACCAAGAAATCTGTTCACATCAAGTAATTATAGGGTAGGAACTTAAAAGCAAGAAGATATGAAAGGATATAAAATATTATGTATGCATCATGAACTTAATTTGGAATTCTTTGTGTTTCATAAAAAGTGGGAAGGCTGAAAAGAAAAAGGTGGAGGTGTAGAAAGTGAAAGAATTTCAACTTGGAAAAAGACATGACCTACAATTATGTTCACCTGCCCTATTTAGAAAAACATCTTGAAGCCATCCTTCAGTGTTAAAAGCAGAAGGTATTTGTTGACTACATTTTTTTTATCTTTCCATTAATTAGTTATGGTTCAGGACTTATTCATTAAACACTTAGCATTTTTGACACACTAAAGAATTATGTACCTACCAAGAGACTATTGAGAGGCAAAGATCCAAAACAATGAAACTGCACCTGTTCTTTGGATTCAGCAGTTTTAATTAATTTTCAAATGACCTCCCTTCTCTACATTTCCACTGGCAAATGAATCAGTGTAAAAGAGTGCAAGGCCTGCTTATTTCTCCTATCAGGCCAACTGAGATAAATTCTCATTTTTCTGAGGTATGCTCTGATGTGAGATGTTATTTCTTTCCGACACTTACAAGGCAAAAAAAAACATTAGATATGATGAAAAAGGACACATTTCAATGTTAAAAGCCACCATTCACAATGAAGATACAGCAGTTATGAATATCTCTGCACCGAATGACATACCAGCAACCACTATACAACACAGACTACAGGAGATGCAAAGAAACACAGATAAAACACATTAGTAATAAGACACATGAACACCCATACATCATGTTTTTCACAAATTGAAGATTTGTGGCAACACTGCATTGAGCAAATCTATCACCATGTTTTTTCCAACAGCATTTGCTCACTCTGTATCTCTGTATCACACTTTGGTCACTCTCCCAATACTTCAAACTTTTCATTATCAGTACATATTATAGCGACTTGTGATCAGTGATTATGATCCACTGAAAGTGCAGCTGATCGTTAGCAACTTTTTAGCAATAAAATATCTTTTAATGAAGGTATGTACTTTTTCCTTAGATATAATGCTATTGCACACTTAGTGAACTACAGTATAGTGTAAACATAACTGTCATATGCACTGGAAACCCAGAAAATTCATTTGACTCACTTTATTGTGATATTTGCTTTATTGTGGTGGTCTGAAACCAAACCTGTAATACCTGACAAAGTTTATGCAGGCAGAAGACCCAATCAACTTACTCAATAAGGCAGAAAACCTGGAAATATATATCAAACTTCACACCCTGATAATTTTTGCAACTTTTCATGAAGTTTATAATTATTTCAACATTAAACCACAAAAAATGAGAAGAGGAAGAAGAAAAACAGGAGGAGCAGGAAAGGAGTGGACAGTCACCAAAATGTAAGGAGTGACACTATTGAATTTCCCTTTTCCTTTCCCTTTCTTAAAACATTGTTAAAGCATGTTGAGTGTTAAACAACCCTCTCATTCTTCTTTTAATCATAAAAGAAAGTACTCTAATTTAAGAAATCTTAAAACATGCATCCTCAATGGAAACCACAAGACTAAGTCACAAAATGGAAATCACAGGACTAAGAAGTCCCCAAATAGAGCTGGAGTGAGGCTCTACAAGTCAAGAGGCTGGCTGTTAGGGAAAGACTTTTCTGGCAGGTGCCAGGCGGGGCTTCAGCTGCCTCCAAAGTGGACCTGCACACAGTGTGAACACAAGGGCAGTCTGTCTATGGCCTCACGCTCCCTCTCCTGCAGAAGGTCACCACAAGTCCACACTGCTAATCCACAGTGTCCTCAGACTGCCTCTTCAAGAAACCCAGGTTGGCAGAAGGCTCTAGACCAGAACAGAGTTCTCAAAGCTTGTCTCTGCATCTGTCATGTCATCACTGAACCAAACCACAGACTCTTGTAAGACAGTGTCTTTGCCTGTATCCTCAGCACCCAGGCAGCCTGCCAGCTCCAGCAGCCTCTGCCACTGGCTGCACCTCCCTGCCTCACCCACTTACTTCCGCCCAGAGAGATCACCCCTGGGTCCAATTTTTTTTTAAAACAAAAATTGTCTGACTGCCCTTTAGCTGAATTAATCTATGTTAGAGGTCCATGGAAAAAAAGGAAAGAAAAGTTGCCAGGGAAGAGAAAGGTGTGGATATAATATGACTCATTAAACCAAGAGATGAAAAGTCTCTGCATCCCAAATTTTTTGAAGAAGATAAACAAAAAACAAACAAAGAAATAAAATGTGACAGATATATGATGAGGCTGGTCCAATATCCAGGGGCCCTGTGTTCACTTTTACTATGTCACTGTGCAAAACCAGCTATCGTTTTATTTTAAAATGAAAAGAAAATGCATTTTGTCTCACTTGAGCAAATGATTCCAGCTTAACAGACCCAACCCAGACGCACTACACCTGGGGCTTTATCCAGCCTTCTTTTTAGAAAATAAGTTACCAAGGTGAAGCTGTGATGAAAAAAATGGGGCAAAGCAAACAACAATGAGTGCAGAGCTGAGGTAATTCATCACAAGGCAGATCTATTTTCCTGTATATCCAATGCCTTCCACCCACCATTGACATGAACATGCAGGAAAAGAAAATACACCTGTTTCGGGTTTGTGTTTTATCCTCTTCTTTAAGCAAACAAGGATGGTTGTTGTGTGTATATGCTTCATTTTACCATAAAGGATTGTTCTGGCAAAATGTACACCTTTTATGAAGGATTATATATAACTCCTTTATACTCCAGGAAACAAAGCGGAACAAGCACTAAGTAGCATTAAACACACCCACAGTGCTGACTCTAAAGTGCTGTATGAATTTCTCTTGCAAAAATCACAAATAAAAATAGTTCCTAAAAGAGATTTAACCTAAACTGTATTATTTCTCAACAGTTAAGGAGAGGTTTCTAAAACAATAGTGTTCAGTCACTTGAAATCCTTAACCATTTTCTGTAATTCTTACAAATTTTACTGAACCTATTTTCCCACGTAGGGTCACTGCTTGCTTCTTAATTCTCAATTCTCTTTTTTCAGGTAACTGCCTTTTGAAATCAGTTCTTCATTTTTGTGCTGGATTTTGCTTTTGCAGCTTCTCAAATATATAAGCCAATCTTTGACTTACAAGAATAAGTGGCATTGATGCTATGGTAGGTTGACCTCAGTAGCTAAAAAATCCAATAGTTTAAAAATTAAGCTCATTTTTCATGAGACATAAGCCATGAAAAATATAATGAATATAGAGTTGACATCCTGCAATTCTAACTTCTTTTACTTGAGAGAAAAACAAGGGATGATTCTCTTCTGACCTCATTATTGCTTCCTTTTATATCTATGTGGACTTCATGAACCTGCTACAGAAACTTGAGCAGAAATGCTAAATGGTATTTTAGATATTTACCATTATATTTTAGATATATGCCATACTATATATATATATATATATGTATATATATATATATATAGTCTCAAACATATAATTTCCTCAAAATTTTATTTACATACATGATCACTGCCTTGTTGTTGTTGTTGTTGTTGTTGTTAATATAACCATCTACTGGGTCTCTGAATTTTTGGATGAATTTTTTAGCCAAATAATTTTCTTGGTTCATGAATGAATAGAATCAGCTTTATAAGCCTAAATTTACTTGTATTGTGATTACTCCAATATAATGGATCAAACTCACTCCCTCATCACTTTTAGTTCATTCCTTAGGTGTACTGTGATGATGAGGCAGAAATATTTAGAACAAGATGATCTGTACTCAAGTCTTAACTCATTTGCTAACTAGCTGGGCAAGTCACTAAACTTTTCTGGTCCTCATTTTGCTCATCTCTAAAGGAAAGTGTTCAGTTAGACAGGTTCCATGGTCCCTCTGAGACTAACAACCTGGGTTACTAACCTGAAAATACTTCCACAAGCCATTTTCACACTTACCAAAACCAGGAGGTACAGTCACCTTAGGCTACGATCAGCTCTAATCTAAAAGATATTGTCCTATTATTGCCAAAGTAAGTTTAATCAAACCCTTGTGCCGCCCATTAAGTTGTGACCAATACTAATGCTCTTTGCTGAAAGAGCATTACTAGTTTTCACTAAGATTCATCATCTCATTAGTGACCCAATTTCCAAAGTCACCAAGCAGAGGAAATTTCTCTTAAGAAACCCAAGAAGCAAGATCTCTAAAACTGTTACACATTCGCTACTACATTAGGAAAGTTCACAGTACCTAAAATAGCCACCACCTCATCATCCTGGATGACTTCCAAGGATCCTGACACCACAAAGCAGAGGGCATCCACACTTTCTCCAGCATGGTAAATGAGGTCCCCAGGAGCACAGTGAATAGTCTGGAACTCTACCGCCAAGGCCCGCAGACACCCGTCGCTGGCCAATCGAAAAGCAGGATGTTCATTAAAAACCTTCCGGTTTAGATGAACACAGATATCAGCTCTCATGTCCTTGGGACAGATGGAGAGAACCTGAGGAAAGTGAGAAATGAATAAGTGAGAAAAAAGGAGAAAGATATATTCCAGGGAAAAAAAAGGCGTCCAATAAATATTTATTGACTGTGACAAAGTCTGTAACACATGGTACTAGATACTGGGAATGCAAAGTTAAAAGACATACTTCTGCCCTCAAGGACCTAATAACCCAGTGAGATGGGCTGATGAGCATATGGACTATTATAATACAATACCACAAAGTAAAGCTTCTAGAGGGGTATGGATCTCCCCATAAAAAGAACAGACTCTTAAGGTGGTTGGGAAGTGTTTCAGAGAAAAACCTGATATAATTTCCTCCAAGAGCCAACTAAAACAGGGCATTCACATTCATTTTAGTCTAGTCTCTGTTTTAGAGTTTTTTCATACTTGAACCAAAATTCAGGATATTGTACTAACTCCACACTAGAGGTGGGTTCATATTAATCAATTTCAAGAAAATACAATTAACAAAAGTACCCTTCTAACTTGACAGGCTGGCACTGGCTGATATAACTCTTGAAGTGTGTCTTTTTTCACTCTGAAATATTTTCATTTTACAAATAAATTTTAAGTCCAGGGAGTGAAAAGGGTATTCACCAGCCTTCCGTAGGGCTTAGACAACTAGAAGTAGCACTACTGGCAAGCTGGGACGATTACTGCATGGCAGCCCTTGCTCATCCTTTAGGAGTCAAAGACTCCTAAAGACTGCTGAGGGAAACAAGAGAATTCAAGCTCTAGGCATCCTTCAGAAGAGGGTATAAATAGCAGAAACATGCATAGGTAGCTCTCTAAGAGTCAGAGAGCTCTTATTGCCGGTAGATTTTAGACAGCGCAGCTAAAGACCCTGATTAAAATGGACACTATCATCACATTTCATCAGAGCATCATCAAGCAAGATGTGATTACCAGAAGTCAGTACCACCCACTTTAAAGATGCATGTACAAACTCACTTAGAATTCTCTCCCAAACCCCTTGGTAAACTATTCTGTATCAGAAATGTTATTCTTGATAGGCTTTCAACCCATCAAACTGAAGTCTAACCTTCTCTTTCTCCACTAACTTATACTGAATAAAGTTTTAATATGAAACAGTTTTCCTTCCTGTATTACATGCACTTTAACCTTTAAAAAATTCCCTAAGGTTTGAAATATCCTGAGTATTCCTTTCATTTGGGGCTATCAATGAAAAGTTGGCTGCTTCCCTGTGTAGAAGATGAGTCCCTCATAAATGTGAAGACCATTAATTAAAGTACACTTTCAGTATCCTTTTCCTTAATCTTTCCAAATATTGTTCTTATTGTTTTGTAACACTTAAGCAACTCTGTGGGGTTTTTATACTCCTTCGAATTCCCATAGGGAGTAGGGATCAACTCATCTATCCCTAGATCATCTAGAAAAATCTCATGTTTGAGGAAAAAATGCCTAACAGAGTTTTAGAAGCTTTAGTACTTTTCTTCCATATCAGTTGTTTTCCATAATAATATAATGTTTTCTTTATTATATTGACCTTTAATGACTTCTGACATTAGTCATCCCATAGATCCTTATTGAGTTCTATGATGGAGCACACCACTGCATTACTCTTGGAACTAGAAGGGTAAATAAGACACTATCTTTGCCTTGAAGGAGCTAATCATAAAGTAGGGGGAGTAGGCATGTACAACAACAATTAAAATACATTGAGAAAAGTGCTAGGATAGGGCATGGCCAGGGTGACATGGGAGCCCATGCGGTCTAGGAATCATTACTTATGGCATAGAAGTGCATAAAAGATCAAGCTCACGAAGACAGGCCTGGATGAAAATCTATAACTACCTGTTTAGCCTAAATTATTTAATCTCTCTAAACCTCATCTGTGAAATGGGATGATAGTCCTTATTTCATAGGCCCATTGCAAGAATTACATGAAAGGGTTTAAGTTTTGCCCAGTTTAGCCTTGCACATGGCTGAGACTAAAGAAATGTTGGCTTTTATCATCCCTACTGAACACGAATATTTTACATTATTGCATTAGCTCTCTGCAATAGTTCTCTGCAATTTGCTTTTCTTTCGTTTTCTACCCCAGTCTGAATTCTGTACCTTGACTGTTTGATGAGATTTCAGGCAAAATTAATAAAATAATTCAGAATGAACCTGAAGATATTTTAAGCACTAGCTAGTGTGAATATTTTCCACAAGTTGAAGATGAAACTAGTGCTAGAAAAGCCAAAAAGTAAAAATAATTTTAAAATACATACACATGCATAAACACTATACTGAATAGCTTTATGGGAAATGGATCATTCTGTTTCTATTCCATTTACCTTAGAGGATTTTTAATGTTTTAGATTCATTTTGGTAACAGTCATTTTATGTCCTAATTATTTCTTTCAGGATTTCATGCTGCAAATGAAATCTTCCAATGTTAGCAATATTCTCTGTTCAGTGGCATGTTGAAAAATGATTTTTATTTCATTTTAAGTACATCTTTCCTTTTTCATTTCACTTCACTTATGACACTGAGTCATTTATTATTTTTATTGATGGTGTGTACTTAAGTCTAGATGTCAACAGGTTAAAACTAAGTTGAAATAGACCCAAGTCATATCCAATGGCAAGCTCTCTCCCTATCCATGCTGTTTTATTTTTTTGTAAATGAAAGACACTAATAAGTGTCTTAGGCAAGGCAAAATTTAGTTTTAAGTGATAAAATTGTCATTCAAGATGACTCTAATACCTGCCCCATTAGTCCCAATTTCAGCATATTCTGCCTTGAATGTCATATCAAGTCTCTTGTGGGTAGGTTCCCTAATGGGTATCTTAGAGTTACAAACAAATGAAATTACATTTTGGTACAAAACATTCATATTAAAAGTGATTATTTATCCCCTTTTCATGTCAGGATAGTTATAAATTAGATTCTTAATTAAGACAATAAGTTTTCTCTTTGGAAGAGCTATAGCTCTATATAAGGAATCATTTTTAGAATTCTGCAACCAACCCTGAAAAAAGTAAAGAATGTCATGATCTGAAGAATAAAACTTTTTAAAATTTATTTATTTATGATACCAAGGGCCCACTCAGTCACTCATTTAGCTCACAGATAGTGAAAGTTAGTTATGCATGAATTATATGCTGGCTACTATGCAGGCCCTCCAGATCCAAGAGCAAAATTTCTCATAGTACCAGCCTCCATGGAGCTTCCAGTCAGGAACAGCTTGAAAAATCACTGTTCTTAGTCCAGTGCCCCATTTTCAGATAAGGCAAATGTACTGTATAAAGATTATGTGGTAACATCTCGATAAGTTAATAACAAAACCCAAAACTCATGCATTCCATTTCTTAAGCAATGTTTATATGCACTAAAGTTCAACCAGGAATATAATGTAACATCTAGCACTTTTTAATGTTTTCTGGTTCTTTGCATACCACAGAAATATAAATGCTGATTTCTGAAAATCACTTAAGGTCCTACTAATCAAAATACAGTTTACTTATTAGGAAATCACTGGTGTGACCACTTCCACCATACCAAAGAACAGCCTAGATTTCTTTGCAGGTTTGTATCCATTTCTAAACACTTCTAATTTTAGCTGCATATTTCAGTGTGTTGGTAAAGATATAAGGATGCATTGACAAATTATTTATCTCATTACTATTTGTTAAAAAAGAAGTCATCTCATTTGAAATATAAGTTTTAGTGCATATGGGCAAAGGACCTGAACTAGATATTAGCATGGAGTAAACATATTTGATAAATATCACTTTCCCCATCACTGTTATCCATTATAATATTAGTAATGTTGCAAAAGCTTAGAAAAGCAAGCCTAAATACTTTAATTAGAAACCAAAGAGTTAAGTCAAGATTCTCTAAGGAAATGGTTGATTAGAGAAATCCCAAAGAAGGCTTTATCCTCTCTGTTATCAACTCTTTGAATATATTTAAAAATGCATCTTAACAATCACTATATAAAATGTAAGATATTTACATATGTATATACCATTTTCATAAAACCTGAATCTCCAAACCTTTATTTCTGTTTACCCCATATCACATTATAATCATTTCCCATGCCATGAAATACTGATTTAAAAATATAATTTGAATCATTGCTTAATACTCCATCAAATAATCATGATACAACTTAACAACTGCATTATAACTGGATATCTGGATTTGTAGTTTTCCTTTTCATAAACCAAGGTATAACAAATACGCCATACCTCTGTCAGATTGCCTGAGGACAGATTCTTTTAGAAGAAAAATAGCGGACAAAATATAAAAACCATTTTCAAGGATCTTGCCAAATTGTTTCCCGGAAAAGTGTATCAAAAAAAAAATTACCCTCTAACCCAGTAGTGTATGAGAATCACCTTCTCATCAAAATCTTAATTTGCATTTGAAAAAAAGGCAATTTTACCTGAAACAAAAATTGAATGTTACATGGCTTGTATGGAATTGTACATGGAACTACAATGAGACATAGGCTGAGGGCTTGAAGGTTAGTGGAGGTAGTTTCCTACCACTCACTACTCCCTGTTTCAGTGACAAGAGACTGCTCACTTTTAATCAATCTATATCAAATTTCTAATATGAAAATGAAGATAATAGTGATAATTCTATTATAAGTGTCTGAAAGTACTGGATAAAACCCCTTTGATGTCTCTCACTGCTCTAAAATAAATTATTTTGTTGATTATCTACAGAATATTATGCCAGGAGTCATATAGTGTCAGTTATTGTATTTTATTTTTTTATTTTTTTAGTGCCAGTTATTTTAAATAATAATTGATAAGTGAAGATGACCCCCTTGTTCTCTTTCTTAGGAAAAAGGAATAAATGCATTAATGACATTTTGATAGGCAATGAAGTTACCACTGACATTCAAAGTCCCTGTTTCCTTTGATGAAATTAAGTTATGCACTGCTAATTAATCTCCCCTCACCGATCCAACTGAATTGGTATTAAATTAGTGAAAATCAGTGGAGAGAGTAAGCCAAGTGACATTTGCACATAA